TACTCTGTCCAATTTTCGGCACGGATTTACAAACCATCATTATACTTATTTTGGCGTCACTATTCACAAAATTCCTCCAACAACTTACGATGGACTCTACCTTAGCAAGGGACAAAAAAAAGACAAAAATTTTGAAGCAGGCTTGAAAACAATAAAAGTCGAGTAATTTTTGGAACCAAGAAACATCCATGGGATAGAAGGGAGCTTCATTTGCTCATGCCAGTTGCATTTTTAACCGATTCAGCTGCACCTTGTGCCTTGGCTTGCATTTGTTGTCCAGCCTAATTAGCAAACAATACAAAAAAAGATAATCGTACTTATTCACATATAATACTTTTACGTTATTTGGAATATCCAGACCTGATCTTCTGTTTACAGTGGATAGAAATTATAATGCCCACTGATGTCACACCCACTGTAGGCATTATAATTCCGACCCGCTATAGACAGAAGATCAAGCCGACGATGCAAAGTATAATGGCTTGGAGATGACCTCTTGTAGGGACTCCTTAGCAGATTGTGCATCATTGCTGGCCTTTTCCATCATTTGGCCACCTTTTTCCTGATATATAATACAAATAGATTCATTGGCTATTTGTTGATTTCAAAACGAAAAAGGGGACTGAACTGTATACTATATAGGATTAAAATTACCTGAGCCTGGCCCTTGGTCTGGCCAGCTTGGTAACTGAGGTTCTGGGAATTATCCATGTTCTGATAATAGAATTGAGTAAATCAAAGAAGGAAATAATTGTTGGGGTGCATTTCATAGCTGTATTTATAGCATTTGAAGCCAATGCATGCTTGCCACGTGTAATACCATTAGGTAAAAAAATCCTTATTGGCCTTATGACTAGGAAGATTTGAAAAAATCAACCTCGACTCGAGTAGTTAAACTATTCTTGCTGTTAATTACATTAAAAAAAAAAAAAAAAAAAAAAAAAAAAGGAAATAAAATTTTTTTAAAAAAAAAAAAAAAAAAAAAAAATTAAAAAAAACAACCCAAAATNNAAAAAAGAACTTAACATTTCATATTTTCATTTTTATACTGTTACTTCAGTTGAAAAATCAAGTACAGCAGAATGTATGACTTTCAATCTCTCTCACTCTTCTTATACATTTTTTGAGATATCACGTCAATATAATAAACACGTTTTTATTTGTAAGACATACCAAAATCATTAAGGTCGATGTTCTTTTAACTTGTTCTCAATCAATGCAATTTTTTAAGCATGGGATATATGACTTTTTAAGTTTTAAATACTAGCTACTCGTTTAGATTTTTGAAATTGCTGATGGTCAATTTGTCATGAATACCAATATTTTTGAGGGCCAGATGATTTTTGAAATTATTGAATTATCACGTGTATCAATATTTTCCAGCTCTCTCACTAAATTGAGAAACAAGTGGTATAGCGAACACATTAGTTTAGAGTTGGCTTTGGCACATAAAGGACCATACGTCGGTCAAACTGTTCAATTTTGGAACAATCTAACCTTTAATTGGTCTGTCTCATCCAAGAGAAGTCGTATTTGGCTCTCCATGCATGCAAATACGCTATCCAGTTGTATTTTTTTTCCCCCAAGAATAGGATTAGGATCTTTGGTCCATGTAATATTATACAATTAATTTTTTTTATTTTTTAATTAAATCAGGCCCTCACTGAAACTCCCTCCCTGCCTTCATCTAAAGCACACTCATAATAAGGAACATTAAAGAGACTTGTCAGAAGAAGATTCACTCAAAAAACTGAAGAGAAGAAAAAATATTGAAGAAAACACACATCGTAACAGGAGTTCACCACCAAGAATCCAAGCAAAAGCCAAGCCAAAGCAAGTATTCGAATCGGGGTCTCGGACATGTGAATGGGGGATATTCTCGAAATTCACACAGAAAAAAGGAAGTGAGTTAGACAAGAAATCAAAGAGATAGAAAGGGATACTCTGAATCATAGAATTATAATGAAATATACGATTCCATTAACTCGAATTTCTTCTGTTTCATCAATTTTCTTTTTATTCTCCTTTTATTCTAAAAAGGGGCAAAAGAAATCAAAAAAGCAAGTCAAAACTTACATGGTATTCCAAACCTATAGTCGATACTAAGTAGCAGCAAAAATTTAGCTTAATGAATCTTTCACTTACTTGATGGGTTGGCTAAGAGATTATTTATCGTTAAATTATCTGGAATGGATTCAATCAACGAATTCCCCAGGGTCTCAAAAAGTGTAAAAACACATATGAACTCTTGAATGGAAATGAAAAACTGACTGCCTTCCATCTAAGCTGCGTAGGATAGATCCAAACTCAATCTCAGGGATTAGTGAAGCTTCGTTGTGTTTTTTATTGATATTCTTCAAAAAAGAATCTTCATAAATTGGGTTATTCAATTTAAAGTAAGCAAACAGAATTTCATACTCGATGTCACAAATACATATAGAATTCTGCCGAAAGCCGTATTATGGAAAATTCCCCACTCGCAGAAGTGGTATTTTTTATTCATTCCTTGCTCCTTTAAATTTGAAATATATGTGGGCATCCATTTATGTATAATCTATTAGTTTATGAATCCACAGATTAATTTGTAAATGTTGAAGTGAGCAATTTAACTTGCATTTTCCCGTGAGTGGAGAAAAAAGATTCATATAGATGGCTCCAAATATACTGTTAGGATATAGTATTAATTTTCTGTCGTCGTTCCTAGGAACAAAAATGGGTGCATCTGTGATTTTAAAGATCAACTTTTTGTTCAAATGGTAGCACAGAAGAAATAATTTACTCTTATCCTCTCATAATTGTTGACAATCAACACTTGAATTTGGTTTTTGCTAAGATTTAAGTTTATGTGTGAATTCTCAAAACAAAAATTTAGTTGCAAAGAAAATGCTTTCAACGTGCGAGGATGTTTAGGGGTAATTAGAGAAGTATTACCCAATAATTGTGCTGTGTGAAGTAATAATATACATTAGATACTACCACAACTCACAAGCATAAAAAAGACTATTAAAATAAAAAAGAAGGATCAGTTATTGGTAAACCAATCATCCCAGGAAAATTCAACAGAAAAGAATAAAGGCATTCAGGTTTGTTCCTCGGTGAACTGTTGTGTCATTGATTCCAACTCTTCAGCTTCTTGTATTTTAATTGCATTTGTCAATTCAACTAATCAAGGAATGTGTTCTTTTCAGAGATTCTGATGCTGCAAAGCAAATTCAAGCATGATTAAAAACGGACGCGCTCACTATAACAGCATGTTTAACAGAGAGTAAAAGCACAGTTATCAATGTTATTTTTTAATTTATCAACTTATTTTAAACTTCGCTTGAAGAAGGAATTATTACAATAAAATTGACTTATTTTCCAGGTCCAGGACCAGGACCAAAATTAACAGTCTTTTGGCAACAAACATGTCAATATAATTTCAAGCGTGCATCAGAGAATAATATAATGAGCAAATGCAAAACTGGCACAAATTGGAAGTACGCACAAGGAAAACAGTGTCAATATTATCTCAGCCTTCTGAAAATTTATCACACACATCAGGACCATCTACACAGTCAACTGATTTTATTGAAAAAACTAAACTAATTTATTGATGCTCCAACACTCGGAGACTCCACACGCTAAATAGAGAATAGTTCAGTAAAGTAAAAGGCTGAATAATCTCAGCATCTTATTATCAACCACACTAAAGACACTACTACTTAGTCGAGAAAACCATGTGCATAATTATTTCTTCTCGACTTCCTTGCCCTGGTCATCGTTCCAGCAGAATTGCAGAATAGACCTTGGAGAACCGCAGTTTCCAGCACTGATAAAGCTGCTATAGTTAACAGATCCTCCATGACCAGCAACTTCAAAGCTCCTTCCTCCACATGCATATCCATTCATATTAAGCGTGAAGTCCAGATCAAGGTCCTTCCTGGCAACAGAAGAATGCAAAGCTACAGAAAACTTGGCAGGTTGGAAGCAAGCCAGTACCCTCTCAAGCAGGAGGGACAAATCAACCACTTTGAAATCATATCCAACTGCTTCAAAACTTGCATAACTGAAGCCATACTCTGGAGTCACATGAATTGTAGAGATTGCAGCACCTTCAACGGCATTCATGGAGTAACCACAGGGATCAAAATCAAAATCACATATCTCAGAATTGGGGAGAATTTTCCTGATGCCGGAAGCTTCAGTCATGACAGCTGCAGAGCTTGATTGAGTTTTGTAAAATACAGAGGCCCTCTTCTGGTTCAAATTAGTCATGCACATTTCTAGGGTGTATACCGGACCCAGATCATCCGTCAGGGTAGCTGATGCACAGTAGACATGCCATTTCTGATCTTCATCAGCACCACCCATCACATAGGCGTTGCTGCTCAGCCCACGTTTGCCAAAATAGCCGTCTAGAGCAGCTACTTCTTCAGAAAAGCTACGATGCGGAAATGGCTGAGCCCCAGGAAATATGAAACTTCCACGGGTGTATCTTACAGAACTCACGGTGAGTCCGAGGATATCAGCAAGCTTGAGGATGATTGGGATAGAAAGCAGCAGCTTTGTAGTCCCACAAGTTTTAATTATTATCTTGTATGGGTACACAAAAAGGCTAGACTCTGATAGGACATATGAATCGACTTCATCATTAGACAACGAAGACACAATGGTGCACTGAGCTGGGTCTAGAATTTCATCCAATTGAGATTTGGACAAAGATCGGAGGCCAAGACCTCCAGGGTCAGAAAATATTCCAGGTTCGTAAAAAGAAATCTCAAGCCTCTTTTCATAACCTTCAAATCCAATCGCAGAAACTGTCAAGGCCATTTTGTCTTGAAGGAAAGGAGTGAAGTGGAAAGCAAGAACAAGGACAAGGAAATAAGAAATTAAACAAAGACGGTAGCTGGAAATAAGAAATTAAACAAAGACAGTTGCTGAATTTTAATGTAGACACTGTTCCTTAAACCACCTCTGGTGGTTATTGCACAACCCAACAGATCTCAGGATGGCTTCCGCGCACACTGCAGATAAAGAACGCAAATTAAAAACATGGCACTTACATGATGATCTAAGAAAAAAAACCAAAAGAACAGAAGACATCAAACTCACGTTAGAGTATGCAGCAGATTTGAATTTCTTGATTCCTCCGTGTGGTCGAACGTCTTCAATGCTGTATCCAAGTGGAGCTTCGTAGAATAAGGATTTACTACTACTAGACTTCTTCCCACCCTTTGATTCCATCAGATCATTCGGTCTTAGCTGTTAAAACAATCAAAGACAAGTATCAAAACCAGATGGGAACATCAATTTAACTGAGAAAAAACTGTTATAGGCATGCATAGCAAACGAAGTCAGACACCAGTTGAGCTATTCATTAATGCTGACAAAAAACCTGGAGGCTGGAAACTATCATCAGCATTTTACAATCACAAAAGGAATGTAGGTTAGATAAAATAGGAATGAAGGGTAAGTAATAAAATAACATCAAGAGAACAGTAATGCAAAAAAAAGGAGGAGAACTATAGAAGAATTCGAGGAGGAAGGGTATAAGGTGAATAAATATTCACCCGCTAAAATCACAAACAATACACGATACACTAATATTGTAAACACATTTTTTCCCCATCTACTAACAAGTAAGCATAATTGAACTAGTGGCTGCAATGCGAATTTCTAGATTCACATAAAAAGAAGCCTCTATACCTCACATCAGTCTAAAACACGATTCACTCCTCTAAACCTGACATCAGTCTAAAACACGATTCACTCTTCGGCTGAAAACACTAAGTGAGAGAAAAACTATAGTAAATAATAGAAGTTTTAAATAAACATCAATTTTTAATGATCGGTTGTAATAAACGGCCAATGCAAAAGCCAAAATTCATCCACGAACAAATAAATTTATGGTTCATATAACGTTTCAAAATCGAAGGGGCAAAAAGAAAACCAACAAATGACGCATACGATTGGAAATATGAGAGATAGGCAGACAAAAACCTTCCTTCGTTCAGAAAGCTTCGATGATCAAACCCAGATTACAATAACAAAATCCTGAGAATACACTGATGATATGAAACAATAAAACGATATAAACAAAATCAAGCCCTATAAATAAACCAAAATGTCGTAAAAATGGCAATAATACACTTCCAATCATGATACGAAACAATAAATCAATACAAATAAAATTATACCCTAGGAACTAGAATAAAGCAAGATCCAATCGCCGATCTAAAAACCGCACATCATATCACGACATAAAACAATAAAATTAAAAGTAATATGGAAGAAACTTACAGATTAAAGCGATGAATTTCAATAGGAACCAAAGTAAATCTCGATTCTGAGAGCTCTCGACCGAATATTGTAACGGAAACAAGAGAATTTTGTAGAAAAATCTGGACGGTTTTTGATATGAGGAGAAGCGAATAATTGGGATATGCTTCCAAGGAAGCGGATGCCAGAATTTATAGAGCGAATAAAGGAAAAAGCGTGTACAAATCCAGTGCATGAATCAGCTAATTCTTCCAATGGTTTGAACTTATGTTCATGTCTTCAATTGGTCACTAAAATTTTAAATATCGAGTTTTGATCACTAAATTTAAATTTATGTCTTCAATTATTTAGTAAATTTTAAAATATCAAATTTTAACCACTGAACTTTAAAAAATATTGTACATTACTTATTAGCATAAATATAAAATTTTAAAAAATATCGAGTTTACAATAAGTAATGTGTAATATTTTTGAAAGTTTAGTAGTCAAAATTCAAAATTTTAAGTATTAGTGAGCAATTGAAGATATAGACCTAAGTTTAATTACCAAAATTTAAAATTTTAAACTTCAATGACCAATAAAAAATATGGATATAAGTTCAGTGACTATTGAAACAATTAATTCGAATGAGTCCAACTCCACCACGTATTTTCACTGTATTTACGTTGCTACCCTCCACGTTTATCTCAGTTTTATTTAGCTTAGGATAAAAATCAAAATTTTAATTGATAAAATATATGATTAAAAATTTGTAAATCTCATAAAATATATTATTAAAATTAATTGTTAACTTTGACTTAAATTAAAACATAAAGACTTAATAAAATTAACATATTTTTTTTCAATAAATATTTTGATTTTGCACCTGTTATTTTTTCCTATAATATCTGCAATTTTATATTTTTGGGGAAAAAATTGAAAATATAAGATTTTGGTTAAAATGAAAAATAAAAATTGGGTTGATTCTCTTGATACGTGACTCACGTAATGTGATAGATATCACAATTGTGCTACACATACAATAATTTTCATATATATGTGGAGAGAAATGACCGAATCAAAATTTCTTTGACCAAATAAGAAAAAATTTCTAAACTCTTTTTCGACATCACATTCGTATATAAATTATTAAATAATTTTATTTATATACAAGTAACGTCATTCTAAATATTTTGTCAGTACAAGCACCATCAGCCACTCATTTAGCCCAAATATTTTGTCAGTACAAGCACCATCAGCCACTCATTTAACCCGTACCGTCTTCAAATAGTGACAAAAAAAAAAATTAGGTGGATTACATTTATCTCTTTGGTTTCTTCCCTGCAAATGTCGGGTCCATCACGTTCCACACAAATCCATCTCCTAAAAAAGGTTGAACCCCAACCTTAAGAATCCCCATCGATCCTGCGCTGGATCATCGTGGAGGAGGTAAATTGCAGGATGTGCCTTCCAGGAACCAGGATGGAGAGCATATGGATAGACCAAAACTGTTAACCCATATAGTAACTCCCGCTTGCAACAAAGACAATTCCACCTTGCGAGGAATCGAACTCTGCACACTGCCGCGCTGAACCCCATCCGCCCTCCCCTTTATCACTGGGAGATATGCCCTGGGGGCACACAAATCCATCTCCTAATATTGACAATTGTTAGCCAACATTTTATAAATGGTTCAAACTTTTTTTTTTTTATTCACACATTTTCACAATAAAATATTTTATACGTAAACTCTTTTTTTTTCTATTTTTAATCACGTATTCTTAAAAAAATTAAAGAATTACTATTTTTAGATTCCTTTTCCCCCAAAAACTCTTTTTAATGGACATGAAATAATAGCTAAGTAGTAATATCACTTTTATTCATATATTTTAAGAAATTTACAAGTATTATTCACTTATTTATTATTTGTTTCTATCTATTTATAACTTAAACAATTTATAATCACTTTCCTTGAAGAATTTCGTAATATTTGACTTCTTACTCTTCAAGATTTGTAGTATTTGAATCCTTATAACATGAAACTATAAATTTAGCATGTGTTTGACAAGTATTTATAAATAGTTGTGTTTATATACAGATAAAAATAAGTAGAGAATAAAAAAATAGTACTAGTAAATCCCATATATATGATAAAAAAAAAAATTAATAATACAGACCATTCAATATAGTGTTTGAGAGGTGAACCTTTTTTTCCCCTTATTTTTAACTTGACAATAAACATATGAGTTTTAAGAGTTGAAGAAGCTAAAAAGTTTGTTGAAAATAAGAAAAATAAGGCAATAGGAAAAATAAAAGGCAAAACATAGGTCCTATTAAGTGGCCAATTTTGATTTGATATTTCAGTACGTAAATCTCGATTACCCACAAATTCAATAGCTCGAGGTGCTAATTCGATCCATGATTTGCCTCTACGCTTACACAAAGTCAAATGTTGCCTTGTATAAACTAGTCATCTTGTCTATTATTGAGTTGCTTGTTCCAATGGTTACTGAAATTAGGTCCACAATTGATCGCTGAAATTTAAAATGTCAAATTTTGATCATTGAACTTTGAAAAATATTATACATTACTCTCTGTAAACTCGACATTTTTCAAAGTTCAATCTTTCTAAAGTTCAATGGCTAAAACTCGATATTTTAAAATTCAGTGAGCAATCGAAAACGTAGACTTATGTTCAGTGACTAAAATTTGATATTTTAAATTTTAGTAACCAGTCAATGTTATGGACATAAGTTCAATGGCTATTGAAACAATTAATTCTCTATTATTTTATATGAGACAAATTTTAATAGATTTTCATTCAATACATAAAATCTCTTCAATTGGTACACTATGAATCTCATTCATTTGAGCAACATTTTTAATAATTAAATATACGATTTTAATATGCTCGAAAAAAAAAAATAAGAAAAACATTTATCTTTTAAAATGAATGAACAAATTTGGTCAATAATATGCCAAAACATCCATGGATACAAGTCATTTTCTTACAGAATATTTGTTTTACGTATAACAAGTGATCTCTCTCTCTCTCTCCAGTCTCCACATCCGCTGTCAAATCATTGAAGCTATGGTTAAATTATCACCTGTATTTACACGATTTAGTTGATCATTGTGGACAGCTAATTAATACCTATCAATAGTTATTTGCAAAATAATGTAAAATTGAAACAGGCTTTTATAAAACATAATAAAATTATGATTTCCATTCTAAAATTTTGGAAGTTGGAAGACAAAGATGACATTCGTAAAGGGGTCGTGCATACTGCTATACGAACATCCGATATTGGATATCTCACGCGCAGACTTATTGAAATAGTTCAACACATTGTTGTACGTCAAACAGATTGTAGCACCATCAGAGGTATTTCTGTGAGTCCTCGAAAGAAATTGGACAAGTAAGAAAATTTCTTGTTGAGTTGCGTACTTACTTAAAAACTAATAAACCTTTTTGACAACATGAAAAAATCAAAAGCTCTGGCCTCCCTTTCTATTCATTCCAATCAAAACTCCTTCCCAAACTGTACAAGTTTTTTCCAAAGCATACTTGGAGGAGGAATAATAGTGTTTCATTGCTAATAGTATGGATTATTGAAAATAATAATCCATGTGTTTGGATATTTCCCTTCAACCTATATATATATATATATATATTGTTGGAGCTTCAATTATGGATTTCGACTTCCAATCAAACACAGTCCATACAAAAGTTTACATCAACATCATTGATGGTGTTGGAATTTGTTCAAATAATAACCAAAAATTGGAAAATGAAAAGGTGTGTAAAAATGGAAAATGAAAAGTTGTGACTACGTGTCAACTTCGACCAAATATTCAGACTTGATCCAATGGTCAAATTATAAAAGTAAATAGACCAACTTATTCTACTCGTCGAGTAGATCGTCGTGGTATATTTGGAATCTTGAAACCAAATTCGGATGAATGAGAAATTGCGGACCAAAGTTGGAAGAAATAAAGTGTTGCAACTTTTCTAAAGGATGCAGATTTTGGCCAAGTGTTGCAACTTTTTGAAAGGATGCATGTTTTGGCATGCACTACTTCATTAGCACCCTTTCTATATCTATAAATAAAACCCTATGAGCATGATTTTGGGTACACCAATTGCATTGAGCATTCATTCTCCTCTTGTAATTCTCTCATTTCTAATTTCATAGCATTTTCATGCATTTCCTTGGTAGAGAGGGAATTTCGTTCGAGTTCGTTGATCGAAGTCATTTGGAGTGCTCCTATGGCTAGATGTGGTCGTTGTATTTTGGGAGATGATTATCGAAAAATTGTTAGCACCGATGCGGGGGCAAATTCATCTTAAGGATTAAGTGTCAAACACTTGTCTCGACCAAAAATTCATCACTTGCATCTTTCTTCCTTCATTTTCTGATTTCTCTTAATTATGATTTGATTTCAGAAACTGATTAACATTATTTACATGTTTGTTCTGCGAGATTTGATTCAAAAGAATAAATTTCTTTTGTTCAAGAATCGAAAAAGATGAATCTATATTTATGCATTCGGATTTGGTAACTATTATTGTTTTGCTTCTTAAATTCTATTTTGGTAAGTCGAAATTACGTTTCGATTTCACGCAAATAAACGGTATACTTTTATAAATATAATATGCACATAATTGGTGTTCCCCAACAATTTTAAGATGAATTTTCTTATGCATATTATATTTTATTTGCAATCAAAATCAAGTTACTGCATGAATAAAATCATAAGACAGAATTTTGACGTATAATGATTCTGGTAAATGTGTTCTATTACAATATTTTAATTAGAGAAATTACTGTGTAACGAATCTGTATATTATAACAGAATCGATAGTGATTCTATAACTTGGAATCATTCATTTATATGTTGAATTCATTACAATATATTTCAAGTTGATTTGTGGACAAATAATCTGATATTATTCAATCCTGCAACATATAATGTAGATTCTGGTTTTGACCCATTAGAAGAAATTCTAATATTCAGAAATTAGAGTGGAAAATCTCAAATTGGTGCACCAGATTATATGATAATTAGTTGTGAAATTCATAATACGTATGATATTTATGAACAAATGCATACATGTTTGTGTATTGTATTTATTGGTAGTCTCATCTATAAGTTTTATTTGTTGGCACTCTTTTAATCCAAAGTGTATCTATATTAA